CATCAGGACTTGATTCCACTCCCTACAAAATACAATGAGACATCATACGTAGACAAGCTCCACTTGAGTCCACAGAGAACCTGTGCATTCCCTCCCGAAAAGGTGGGGGTGGGAGTGGTTGACACTGATGTTTTTGTAATTTTTATTCTATCTTTCCCAATAAGGAAATAGTTAAGTAGCCCATGGCTCAGAAAGTCATACCACAGCATAGAGTCTTAATTCCACTAAGATATCAGCCCACCAATTATATGTAGACTTCTTAAAATTACATTTACTTATTTAGTGTGTTTATGTGTGTGAGCCTGACATTGTGGAGGTCAGAGGACAACTTTCAGAAATAAATTCTCTCCTCCTACCACTTGGATCGTGAATATCAAACTTGGACTTGGGGCCATATACCATCACTTGCTGAGCCGTCTCCCCAGGCTTATAATCTGTCATGTCATAATTCATTTTCTCAGTTAATGTAGTGAATGTAGTCTATGCTTTTACATACATAGACTTATTTAGTTACCAGCAATAAGATTTTATATTTAAAGCTATTCTCTGGAAAATCTACACAACAGCAATGGTTGTGTTGATGCCACTGACCTCGGTGTGATATACTATAGTTTTACAAGAAGGCTCCATTGAAATAACTCAAGTAAGGGCATACCATTATCTCTCTGTTGTATGTCTTACAAGGAAATGTGACTTTTCAATTGTCTTAGTTTAAAAAAAAATCACAAGAGAAAATTATGCTGTGTATATTATTACCTGTACATTTACATATTAAAGTGAAGCACAAATTTCTTGAACTCAAAGCAACTCACTTGCCTGACTTGGTGGTCCATGCCTTCAACACCAGCACTCGGGAGGCAGAGGCAAGTGGGCCTCTGTGAATACAAGGCCAGCCTGGTGTCCAAAAAGGGTTCCAGGACAGGATAGCCAGGACTGTTACACAGAGAAACTGTCTCAAAAAAAAAAAAAAAAAAAAAGAAGGAGAGAGAGGAGAAGACAGGAAAATTAAAGTTAAATAAACCATGGTTTGGGGGAAAGCCTGGTGTTGTGCTCAGTGCAGACTCAGTCACGGAGAGAGCCTTACAACCTAGTCAGACACTCCAAGCTTGGGGTGGAGATGCCCTCCTGTGATCCTGGCAACCAGGAGGCTGAAGCAGGAAGCTTGCCAGTACAAGGGCAACAGGACCTACATAGTGAAACCTTGTCTCAAAAGAATAAAAATAAAATCAGGCTGAGCCTAGTGGTGCACACCTTTAATCCCAGTACTGGGAAGGCAGGGACAGATTTTGTTAAGTTTAAGGCCAGCCTGGTCTACAGAGTGAGTTCCAGGACAGCCAGGGCTACACAGAGAAACCCTGTCTGGAAAAAAAATAAAATCTGTTGGGGCTGGGGTTTAGAGAGATCTCTGTTAAAAGTCTTGCTGCTTTTGCACAGGACATGGGTTCGATTTCCATCACCCACATAAAGGCTCACGGCTGTCCATAACTCCAGTCCCAGACCTCTTCAGACATCAAAGGGCACTGCAGGTGCAGATGTACAAACACACATGGCACCAAAACAGCCACACAAAGTTGATATCACACCAACCCCTATTCATCCAAAAAAGTAAAGACCTGTACACCACCACCACCCACCCCCGGTACAGGACCCAAGCACCTCTTTGTTAGGTTTCAAACCTGGGACCAATGGTTGTGGTGTCTAACACTCTTGGACTTCATTTCCCAGAGGCATCAGCTGTTGCTGTGAAATGCATGCTGGGAGTTAAAACCCCGGTTTCCATGGATACATGCGGGTCTTTCCTAGGAAAGTTAGGGGGCAAACTGCAAACTATTTTCACACGATGTGCCTCTTAGTCACAGTGTTTGCGCATACGCAGGACAGTTTGTGGGTAAGCGGAAACAGTTTTATGGAGTAGTCGCCAACCTTAGAGGTGGATTTATCTGGCGTTGGTACTGTGCGCATGCGTAGTACATGTGTTGCGCATGCGCAGATCTGTCACCACGGCAAGCCTGTGAATAGAGTATCTGAATCGCTTGGAAATTTTTCAAATCGTCCTGTGCACTCTTTTTTTTCCCTCTTCTTCCCTTACAGAAAAATGTGGCCAAGAGAGATGGTTCCATCTAAAGTACTTGCATGCTGTCGCAATGTGGGCGAGGTAGGAGCAATGATGTGAAATCTTTCAGGAATAAGCACTCTGACATTAATGACAGTGAGGAGACCAGATGTCACGGGTGGACTGAAGCCAGAATAGCTCCGGAAAGACTTCGATCTCAGGTTCAGTTTGCATTCTAATTTTATACCTTAAACCTACAAGGTGGGGCTTAAAGGAGACCCCTTCCCTCCCTGACCCCGGATTAGGCACAAACCACATCCAAACACCAGTTTTCACAGAGAGATCCTTCATTAAGCGGGGAGGAAAAGTTAAAAGTGGCTGCTTTCTGACTCGGGCAGAAAAACAGCTGTCAATGACCTTGTAGAAAAAGAAAGAAAGAAGTGTAGGCCTATGTTAGAATGGGCTAGG